GTCGGTCAGCCAGACAATACGGGTCTGTTCGTTGAGTGTCGGATACCGTCCGTATCCATATGTGTCCATGTCGTATGCTGCGCGTGTCAATGCCAACTGATCAAACAGCGTTGTTAGTGCTACGCCGCCGTAGAACCGGTCTGTAGCTTCGACCCGCCGCAGCTCGGCTAGCATCGATTGCCGAGAGTCGCGTAGCGTTGATCGAATACATCCTCGTCCTGTCGCGCTGTATGTGACCAGCATGTACCGATCGTGCTCGTAACTGTGCCGGTGAGTAACTATTTGCTCCACAATGCTCTTTGCACACTCAATGCGCGTACTCGTGTGTGTACGCGTGCCGCCTTGCACGGCCTTGCGCTGCCACCGCCGGTTCACCCGCCCGTTGTCTCCAAACAGACTCTCATTCGCCTGCTCATCCTTGCTTTTGCTTGGAACAGTGGAACTCAGCCCCTGCCCCATCGACACGCTAGTGTCTATCAAGAATACAAATATCATTGCCCTATTGCATGCACTGCCAAATGCCAATTTCTGCGTTTCAAAAAAGAAAAGAAAAAGAAAATGCGAATTACACAAATTCAACTATAGGTGTGCACCGCACGTGACTTTTATTTGTGTTGGTACAAAACTATTTTATTGTCAGGGACGACATGGCCGAGGAGCCCGGACTGTGTTTGTCGGTTGACTGACTGCTGTCGGACTTTGCAAGTCTAAAAGAAAACTTTGTATCGCATGTCGAGCACACGGGAGCTGTTTGGCAAAAGATTGACAAGCAGACCGAGCACACATATCCAATGTCGATTACGCGTTTGTGGCAAAAACACGTTGCGCGAAAGTCAATCAGCTCGTTACCCGGTGCATTAAGAATGCCTCGTGTGTACTGGTCGGGCAGGCACGTAAACATAAGCGTCTGCAGCAACGATGCCTCGTTGTTCGTATCGACTTTGAGGTAATTGCCGCCCGTAATCTCGGCTGCTTGCTGTAAAAACACAGAGTCTGGCCCATATACTTTGCAGATATCTATGAGCACGCTCATTTTCTGGGCGGCGAATATGCTGTTCATAAGGGGAATGTACGAGTGCGGCGAGTCTTGGCCCGCAGACAAAACGAGGATGCGGGACCAGATTTTGCTTATTGAGGATTCGCTCACGCGGTGGATATGGCAGAGAGACATGGAGAGGGCACGGGATATTAGGCTTTGCTGGTCTTCGTCGTCCATTTCGCTGGCTATCATTTCATGCACGCCGGAAAGCACTTTGACGTCGACGACTCGGAACTGCTCGTACACTTGGATGTCGTGCATGGGCGGAATGCTGGACGGATCTGACGGAAACAAGTAGCGGCATTCTTTGTGACTGGCGCCTATTACAACTAGCCGGTTCTCAGAATTCAAAGCCAAGTATGCGTTTATGAATATAACCATTTGCTGAACCGCTTTGTCGAGGGACAGCGGCGACCGGGCCCATGCGCTGGCATTCACGTCCAGAACAACCACCAACAAGCTCGAGTCTGATTCCTGTGGTTCGGCCATTGTTTAACTTTGCTAATGCACAGAGAGAATAGACGGTCTATGCAAAGCACGCGATTTGCAATTATTTAAGGTAAATGGTTTAAGCAAATATCCGTATGGGGCTCGGCATTTTGTCCACCTGATCAACGTGCAATTAAATCGACTGCTGCTTATCGGGTTTTTAGAACAGCCAATTCGAATTCTTTTTTTTGTTCTACATATTTTTTTCAATTGAACTCGTTAAAATGTTCCGCCAGGTGCTTAGCGTTGGAAAGACTCAGGTAGGCCGCGGTGCTGAACAGCGAGATTCGATATTAGGCGTGCATTGAAAAAGTACTAAAGATGGGGATTATGGACTGGTCGATTTGTAGTTTACGCGTGGCTATGCCTCCGCCGCTTCGAACAAGGTATGTATTTCAATTCGAAGCATGAGCGCATTTGACAGTATACGCTAAACATGTGCAAAAGTGTAGGCGCCTCTGATGCTGTTTGGCATTGACGGAAAGTACGCAACGGCACTGTTCCAGGCAGCAGCCTCAAAGAACGCGCTGCCAGCAGTCGAGAGCGACCTATTGAAAATCGAAGACCAGCTGACCAAGAACGCAAAGCTCGGCGAAGTGTTCTCAAGCCCGATGCTGAGCAAGACGGCAAAGGAGAAGCTGATCGACTCGCTTGGCAAAAAGTCTGAGCTGACGACCAACTTTTTCAAGACGCTGCTTGAGAACAACCGCATGAGCGAGACGCGTGCGATTATCGCGGCGTACAAGACGCTTATGGAGGCGCATCGTGGGATTGTGTCGGTGGTGGTAACGTCGGCGAACCCGTTGGCCAGCAAGGACCTCAAGCAGGTCAAGGACAACTTGACCAAGGGCGGGCTTATCAAGGACTTTAAGGAGATCAATGTTGTGAACAAGGTCAACCCGAGCATCCTGGGCGGCATGGTGGTTGAGTTTGGCGACTACACTATTGATATGTCAGTGTCGAGCAGACTGGCCAAGATTGAGAAGCTCATGACCGACTCTATTTCAGTTTAAGCAGTTTGTGGAAATAAACGCCCTCTTTTGTTTCCCGATATTTGAATTGTGTATCTGCGCATCTAGAATGTTTGAAAAGACGCTGACCGACCTCATTCAGGGGCTGCGGGCCAACAAGCGCAATGAGGCCGAGTACATTCAACGCTCGCTGTCGGAGATTCAGCGCGAGGTGCAACTGAGCGACATGCACCAAAAGAGTGTAGCAGTGGACAAAATCAACTACTTGCACATGCTCGGGTACGACATGAATTGGGCCAACTTTAACGTAGTGGAGGTGATGGCGTCGCCGCGGTTTGGCGAGAAACGCTCAGGGTACTTGGCCGCCATGCAGTCATTTCACCAAGACACGGACGTGCTTATGTTGACAACAAACTTGATTCGCAAGGACTTGGCGTCGGCAAACATAATGGAAGTGAGTGTGGCACTGGACGGACTGGCACAGGTGGCGACCCACGAGTTGGCGCAGGACCTGTTTGACGATGTACTTGCGGTGATGGGACATGTGCGTCCATATATTCGCAAAAAGGCACTTGTGTGTGCGTGCCGGCTGGTCGGGCGGTATGCGGAAGGACTGTCTGCGTTTGTGCCGCTGCTCAAAGACCGCCTCGACGATCCTGACCCGACCGTAGTGGCTGCTGCCGTCAGCGTCGTCTGCGAATTGGCACGCACCGATCCGCGCAGCTACTTGTCGCTGGCACCCAAACTGTACCGTCTACTGACAACGTCGGCGAACAACTGGATGCTCATTAAAATAGTCAAACTGTTCGCATGGCTCACGCCAATCGAGCCTCGGTTGGCCAAAAAGCTCCACGCTCCTTTATCGCACTTGGTCAGCACGACTACCGCCATGTCGCTTCTCTATGAGTGCATAAACACTGCGGTGGCCGGTAATATCATCGACGTGCAGTTGCCAGCAGTTGACAGCGTGGGCCGGGAAATGGATTTTGCCTCGTTGTGTGCTCGAAAGCTGGAGCAGTTTTACGAGTCACGGGATCATAATCTGCGGTACGTGGGGCTAGTTACTCTGGCGCAGCTGCAAGCGCGACGCCCGGAGCTTGTGGCTGCGCACTATAACACTATTATGCGGTGCTTGGACGACCCTGATATGAGCATCCGAATGCGTGCAATCGAGGCTATTTCGGGCATGGCCACACGCAAAACACTCGTGCCCACCGTCAAGCGCCTCATGTCGCAGTTGGTGCTGTCAAACACAGTTGCATTGCAGCCGAATAGTCGTGCAGAGCTGAATGTTGAGTCTGAAACATTGGACTTGCCGTTACTTGACGCGGCAGGGGCTAGTCTGGTCAGTGCACAGGGAACTATTGTGTCGCCTAAAATTGACGTATCGGATGTTGCAGATAACCCCGAGTACCGGCTAGCAGCCATTGATGCAATCATCGATATGTGCAGCCGCCAGTCGTATGCAAATACATCGGACTTTGAATGGTACGTGGCAACACTTGCCGACCTCGTGTACATTGCCGGAGTGGACGTCGGTCTGCGGCTCAGCGAGCGACTGCTCGACGTAACAGTACGTGTGCGCCAAGTGCGTGCATTCAGCATCAAAATGGCCCGTCGCTTGCTCTCCGACTCTTGCCTAGTCGACCGCTCGTGTAGCGACGGCACAAACTCACCCGTTCTCTCTACATCCGCATATATATTGGGCGAGTACTGCATGTTGCAACCATCTAGTGCAGAAGACATTGGACTGTTGCTTCCATCGGGCCTATCAAAGCTGTCGGATGAGCAGCAAGCCGTGTTTGTACAAGCGGCAATGAAAGTCTATGCAAACTGGCTCAAAGACGTTTCTGGGTACTGGAACCCGGAGATTTGGGAACTTGTACGGTCGGTTACATCGTCCACCCAGCACACACTATCATCCATATTTATGGGCAACGCGTGCGTAGCATTGCCTCTTCAAGTAGCCAGCCGCTTGCGTATGTTTGCCGAGATTCTCAAAACCGTGTCTCTGGCCACATCCAACCTGGGCGATAGTGCACCTCCCGTGTGCGCAGAACTACAGTATCTGTTTTCTGCATACGAACTCAATCCAGTATCAGCCGCTGCACAAGGCAAAGTCCCTGTTCCCGAAGACTTGGACCTTGACACGTATATTGGCAAGCCTATTCCGGACACCACGCACAAAGTCATGCCCCCACCGTCTCCGGCTCCCCGTCCGTCTCGTGCCAAAGACCCGTTTATTCTGCCCAGTGTTGACGATATACCAATGGTGGCACTGCAGCTGGACTCTCCGGTTCATGCTCACAAGCCTCGCAAGACCAAAAAAAAGTCACGTCGCAAGCCCAAGCCCCGGTCGCCGTCCCCGCCACCCGTTCCAGTCGACATTGTTGACGATGAAGATATGCCTGAAGTTTCAAAATAAACGCAATCTGATAATATCACCATTAAGTTGTAACAAATAAAAAATGGCAATCCAAAGCTGAAAATGGCAAAAAGAATGGTTGAAGTGGGATTCGAACCCACGCCTGTTTCCAGACTGGATCCTGATTCCAGCGCCTTAGACCAACTCGGCCATCCAACCAGAGCCAATTCTCAAACTAATCAGCTGTGTTCTGACAGTAACACTTTTTGTAAGTATATAAGCCTAATGTACAAAATAATAAGCCTTGATAAAAGTTTTGAACAATTGGTTGCTTTATTCTTACGTTTGAGCGTCATAACCTGTCTCTGTATATTTAATAAGCTTATTTTTGTTAAAAAAAACTTGTTTATATCAGTAAACAGGCACGCAACAAATAGTTTAAACAAAGTAATTGTTATTGCTAAAAGAGTTGATCATAAATAAACCACTAAGCCTTGACGATGCTCTTGCCAAAGTTCTTTCCAGCAAACAAATCCAGAATAGCCTGCGGGGCGTTCTCCAATCCCTCGACCTCGCTCACCCTGTACTCGATTTTTCCTTCATGGTAGAGCTTTGACACATGGTCGACAAACTCGGTGTAATGCGGCGAGTCGTAAAGATCCAGAATAATGAACCCTTCCATACGGAGTTTGTTCACCAGCACAGCGGTAATGTTTTTAATAGCATATGCGTCATCGTTGCATGCCAAGTTGTACTGGGTAATTGCACCGCACACAACTATACGCGCATTGTTGTTTACGTGAGCCAGGACAGCATCCAAGTACGGGCCACCGACATTATCATAGTAAATGTCAATTTTTTTGGGGATGAGTTTGCGGATAGTCTGGCCGAAATCGCCGCATGTCTTGTAGTTGAACGCAATGTCAGCTCCAAGCTTCTTGACGTGCTCGACCTTCTCGTCCGATCCAGCGAACGCAACTACGTGGAGTCCGATTGCCTTGGCCAACTGCACTACCATTTGTCCGACGGCTCCTGACGCAGACGACACAAGAATAGTTTCACCCTTTTTGGGCGTTCCAATAACCATCAATCCATAGTACGCGGTATACGACGGCATGCTCAGCACGCCAACATGGTCGCGCACGTCAATGCCGGGCTTCTCCGCCGCATGGTGGATGTCTTTAGCATAGGTTATGTACTCGGACTGCCATTTGCCGTCGTTATCTAGCACCAAGTCGTTTTCCTTGAACGACAAGCTCGTGGAGGCAATGACACGGGCAACCAAAAAGTTGGTAATGGGTTCGCCCTTTTTGTAGCTGGCGACATAACTGTCTTTGACGCCAGAGAGACGACCGCGCTGGTACGGGTCGACAGAAAAGTAGAGAGGACGGAGCAGGACTTGTTCTGGCTTGAGCTGATTCTTGGTCGGCGCAGCTATTTTTTCAATAGCAAAGTCAGACAGCTGGGCACTGCCACTGGTAACGTAGTTTTTGAGCGAAACGCTAGTAATGGTCGACATGTTGTTAGAGTACTATAATAAATACGGGGTTTACTTAAACTGCGGCAGAATGGAGAGGGGGGCGCCTTGCGCTTAAATACTTTGCCACATCTCGAACATTTGTCATATATCCTACAAGCTCCTACATTTTACGGATAAGGGGAAAACGTATCAAATGCTAATCATGCTCTTGCATCTTATTTGGGTTGCATTACAAATGTAAAATGGTCAAAAGAACGAAGCAGCAATTGCAAAAGCTGCAGCCATTGCAGCATGGCGCACAGACGATGCGCCCGAGTCGTTGTCAATATCCGAGTCGTCCGAGTTGGAGTTGTCAGAGTCAAAGTCGTCGCTTGATCCACTTGCTTGTGGCCGCGTAGCCGATACGGACTGTTTGGATCCCGATACGCTGGCTGAGTGCGACGCAGACTGTGATGAAGACTGCGAGGCGCTTAGGGTTGGCATTGACATGCTGTCCGAAGCAGACTCAGATCCAGACGCAGTGTCACTTGGCGCACTTGCAGTCCCCGACGCCGTATCACTTCCAGACACAGTATCGCTGCCCGACACGCTCGCCGAATCGCTTGCCGAAGTAGGCACAAGAATGGGCGACGGCGCAGTGACCGACGGCAACGACACAGTCGGAATATCCGACGGATTCGGCAGCGTCGGTGACGCAAGAGTGGGGATCATCTCCAATCCCGCCGGAATAGACGCCGGCTGCGGAGCGGATGCCGGAGCCAACGGACTGGGCTGGGCAATCGGGTTGTTCGGGTCAATTGGCGCCGGTGCCTGCGTGGGCGCCGGAGCTTGTTGCGGCGGCACCGGCAGCTGGTTGAAGATGTCTTGAGTGAACCCTGGCGGCAGTTGCTGTGCCTGCTGCTGCTGAGCAACAACGGCGACGGCAATGGCGGCGAGCGAGAGTGCGATGCGAGTCATGGCTGAACGAATAAAACAACGAGCGAGCTAAAAAAGAGTATGCTGAGCAAGAGCAAGGGAGTGCGAAAGAAGGAAGAGGGATGTTTGCGAGCCAACAGTACCCGGCCACCGTGTACTTCTTATATGTTGGTACTATTTGTCCACAGTGACAGTATTGATTGTCTAACCGAGAACAAACGAGCGCCACCATTATATTTTTTCTCAGCCACCTGTTCTGTTTACAAAATTTATTCAGACTCTACAGGCCGAAACGACCCGTTCGGCACAACAACAACAGGAATTGTGCTGTGGTGCAACACATACTCGGCAACGCTGCCCATAAGAAACCGCTTCACAGTTCCCCGCCCATGCGTGCCCATAATAATCATCGTTGGCTTTTTGACGTTCGAACTCGCCACAAGCACTTCTTTTGGGTTGCCGATTAGACAGATGCCTTTTACTACAAATCCATCGCGCTGCAGACGCTCGGCATAGGGCGACAGTATGCTGCGACACCGTTCTTTGGCCTCTTCGTCGATTTGCGATACTACAACGTCGTCGCCGTCCAACGACCGTGCGTTCTTGCGTGTGCCGATTGATGTGCGCCACGATTTGGACTCTGGCTGCACGTTGACAAGAACTACGAGGTCCTTTCGACGCCGCAAAATGCGTTCGGCCGCCCAGCTCACCACCGGCTCGCTGTTTGGGCTCTCGTCGATGGCAATGACGATTGCTCGGTCAAAGTCCGAGTACTCGACATCGTCTTGGTGAATAGGCACCACGGTTTTGTGGCGCTCGATGCGGGGCGCACTGCGGGAGAGCAGGACTGATAGATCGTCGTCTTCTTCCATCGCTGCAGTTTTGGTTGGAATTGGAACGCCGGGGTGGCTCATTTTAACGTAGAATATAAAACAAATACAGAAAAGATAAAAATGTTTTGCTCTCCATGAATGTGTCCCCCTGATCCCTGTGGTCAGCGAATCATACGAGTGGGGTTTTTGTGAATCAGGTGATTTGTGTCGGATCGTGTAATCTAATTATGCGCATAAATTGATTTGAAACAGGCCTGTGTGTATTGCACCATCGACGAAGGCACTGGCGCGATAAGAGTTACGGTGGATTGACTTTTTGCGTTCAGACTCGGGCGGCTGGTGCGGTGAAAAAGCACCCCGGGTATGATTGTCAAAGCATGTGCGGGAGTTGTAGCCAATAAGATGATCCAAAAAAACACATTAGTCAGACGCTCTCAACAGAAGAAAGCTAGACCTTTTTCTCCTGTCACACAGTTTTTACACTTTAATTATTGAAATGTCGGATTACAGCGCGTGGAGCCAGTTGTTCCGCCTCAATCCAGATACACCGCAGACACCGATGCTGAGCACGCAAGAGTTGCAGGACGAGTTGGCGCTGTGGGGGAATGCGCAGTTTCAGCTGGAAGGGGAGGAGGCAAAGGCCAAGGCTGAGAGTAGGAAGAGCAGCTTGGGAGAGCAGGGGTGGGCGATGGGACAGGTCAATCCGTTGAGTTTTATGATGGACGGGTCGGAGCTGCTCAATGCAATTGCGCCGAGTGGGCAACAGCCGTGGGCGTTGAACGGAGTGCCGATGCTTCCGCTGGCGCCCCTGGCCCAGCAACAGACAACGTCACAGCAGCAGCAACAGACGTCACAGAAGCAGACACCAAAGGGTCCCAAAGTAGTGCCTATAGCTCCTGCACCAACAACGCACACACAGCAGTCACCCATGACTTTGGCGAGCAAATCAAGTGATGACTCGGCTGAGCCAGAGGACGAGTCGCGAGCCGTGGCGGCGGACGAGGACAAGCGGCGGCGTAACACGGCGGCGTCTGCGCGGTTCCGGGTGAAGAAGAAGCTGAAGGAGCAGGCGCTGGAGCAGACGGCAAGGGAAATGACGGTGAAGGCAGAGGCGCTGGAGAAGCGCGTGCACGAGCTGGAGACGGAGACGCGGTGGCTCAAGTCGCTGATCACGGAGCGAGACCCGAACGTGCTGGGCAGCGTGCAGTGCCCGTGCCATCATCCCGAGGGCCTGGAGCCTTCGTCTAAGCGGCCGCGGACATAGTTTGATTTTGGGGGAGTGGTGTTCCGCAACTTTGGTCCAGACAACCCTTATCAGCCCTTATCAATTTGTTTTTCTCTTTTTTCTTAAACTCTTTATTTCTTCAAATTGAAACATGTTTAGTGTAGCTCGTCGCCTAGCAAACCGCCCGCACTCTGTGGTGCGCACGATGGCTACGGCCACGCCGACCGGAAACTACGCCGGGCAGAAGAACACGCGCGGCAACTACGAAGTGACTTTGATTCCGGGCGATGGCATCGGCCCCGAGATTTCCAGCTCTGTCGAGCGCATATTCACTGCAGCCAAAGTTCCTATCGAGTGGGAGACCGCCGACGTAACGCCCGTCCTGCGTGACGGCAAGACCGTAATCCCCGACTCTGCGTTGCATTCCATTCTGCGCACCAAAATCGCACTGAAAGGACCCCTCGCCACGCCCATCGGCAAAGGCCACGTGTCGCTCAACCTAACTTTGCGTCGTACGTTCAACCTGTATGCCAACCTGCGTCCGTGCAAGTCTGTGCCTGGCTTCAAGACGCACTACGACAACGTTGATACGGTGCTGATTCGGGAGAACACGGAGGGCGAGTACTCTGGGATTGAGCATGAAGTTGTAGGCGGTGTGATGCAGAGCATTAAGCTGATAACGCGGCCGGCGTCGGAGCGGGTGGCACGGTTTGCGTTTGCGCATGCGGTGGCGACGGGACGCAACCATGTGACGGCCGTGCACAAG